ATCAGCCTAGCAGAACACACTGTTGCTAGTTACAAGAAAGCTTACTGAAGGAAAAAAAATCAGTAAAAAGAAAAATTGGCTTCATCCTGGCTCAAACCAGGACACCTGCTAATCAGCAAGACATGAATGCATGTCCTGCAGCCCTGTCCCAGCAGGATGGGCTGTTTTTTGACACTGAAATTATGGGAGAACTTGTCTGTTCTACCTGGTAAACTGGGAAATTATGACAATAGATTGGGTGCCTGCCCTGGTGAGTCAGGCTGTGAAACTGGGAGTTTACAAGCCTGTGTGAAAGCAGAACCTGGGTGTAAGTCCAGCTTGTCAACTGGACCAGTTTTTCTGGATGGTATCTCCTCTCCAGTGGTGTCCAGTGACAGAACAAGGGGTGGTGGTCACAAACTGGAACATAAGAGGCTCAACTTAAACATGAGGAAAATCTTTCCTGTGGGGGTAGCAGAGCCCTGGGACAGGCTGCTCAGAGAGATTGTGGGGTCTCCTCTCTGGAGACATTCCAAACCCATCTGGGTGTGTTCCTGTGGGATCTGCTGTAGGTGACCCTGCTCTGGCAGGGCGGTTGAACTGGATGATCTCCAAAGATCCTTTCCCACCCTGACCATTCCATGTATCTGCTGCCAAACTAGTACGTGGCTGGTGTTTGAAGGCCTGTGGGACTAGGGCTGCTGCTGAGCAAAGATGAATTTCTGCTTGTTTTTTATTCAAGCCTAATTTTGACCACAATGTGTTCTCCCCCAGGTTCCACCAGCAGCAGGCGGCTTCCTCTAGATAAAGCTGTGTTGTCTGTCCTGCAATTCCATCATTCAGCCTGCAGCACCCAATTTTCTTGCACTTAGGTTCTTGAAGCAAACAAAGCAACCTCTTTTCTTGTAGCAGCATAAACTAGAATGTGTTACAAGTATGGAAGAGGGAGGAAAGCTGCCAGGTTTTCCATGAAGCTGCACTGTGGATGAGAGCAGCCTTTAGCCTTGTTCTCAGCTGCTTGCAACCCGTGGGCAGGGCTCTCCTTCCCTCTGTGATGGGTGCAGGTGAACCTGAGGCTGATTTTTGTGCGTGCTTGTTTTTCCTTTTAGTCCAGTGTTTCTTAAAGGGTATTTACAGCAGTAGTTCTGTAGGCTCACCAGTCCCTTGGTTGGACCAAGAAGCACTGGTGGCAGTGTGCAGGGCTTGGCTTCAGTGGCAGGTTTCTTTGGAAAGATGTTGAAGCACACTGGGACTTTGTTCAGCCTTAAGGAGCAGAAGATGAGCTCTGAGCCAGCAGAATGTGCAGTGGGAAATGAATTTCACCTCCCCTTTTTAAACCTCTGTCAGTTTCCACTCATAAGGAAGAGAGGGAATCTCCATCTCTCTGCCCTGGCTGTGAGGAGCTGGGGTCACTGTCAGTTCTGCAGCTCACTGAAGTGTCTCCAGGTGCTGGACTCATTGATGGTGGGAGAGACCTTTCCTGTTTTGGGGAGGGAGAAACCAAGATGAGGTAGAGGCAGGTCTGAGGAAGTTCTGCACCCTGGGGGAGCAGAGGAGAATTTGGAGGATCTGGTGTTTCACTGGAGGCAAGTGGCAAGTGAAATGTGAACAAACAAAGAAGCACAAGTCCCATGTTTGTCACTTGGAACAAGAGCTGCTTGGGTGTGGGCCCGAGTGAAAAGCTTGGGAGTTGCTGAGCCAGGACAGCACAGCTTGGCCTGTTTTCTCTCCTTGACTCTCCCCTGGGCTCCTGGTTTTAGAGGCCCTGAAAGTGGCTGCTGGGTGCTGTGGTGAGAGGCTGGGAGGTGTCTCCTGCCTTGTGCTGCCCTGGGTGTAGCTGGAATGCAGGTTTACAGCATGGTTGTCACTTCAGGTAGATGCGAGCTCAGGTTGGAGATCAGATTTTCTTCCTCAGGAAGATTTTCTTCCCCAGTGCTGTGTGTGTCCCTGTCCTTCATCTCTTCATGCTGTGAGCACAGGGAATGCCCCACAAGCCTCTTTACCTGATTTTGGCCAAGATTAAGCAAGCACCCTTGGACTTGTGATCCCCAAAGGTATTTCAGCCTCGAAGCTTCGTATAAATCAAAAACTATTGCACATGAGAGCTCATCAGGGAGAGTTCCTCTTGCTTCTAGGACACCTGGCAATAAATACTGGTGACATTTCATGTCAGGCTATTCCAGGTTCCCTTACAGAGCTTTCTCCTCTATGGGAGATAATGCTCCATCCCCCTTCTTTGCTCAGACATCTTGTTAGGTTGAGGGCCCTACTTGGGGTCTAAAATGTTTAGTTCCCCCAGGGGCTGTTTCACCAAGACTGAGGCACCATCCTTGGGCAGAAATGCAAGTGATGGGACCACCCCAGGTGCTTGAGGAAACCACGCAAACTCCACTGGGAGATGATGCCTTTTGATCAGCATTCAGCAAATCCTGGCTGCACCCAGGAGCAGCATATGTCACTGCTCTGAATGTCTTATTAAACAGCCTAAACTGCACCCCTTGCCCCCCTCCATGACTGGGTGTGAGGGCTGCACTGAGCTGTGCTGCCCCAAACTGCCGGGCTCCCCCCTTCGGGTTCCCAAAGGTGCAGAGCTGCTCTGCTCTGCTCGGCTGCTGCTCAGGGAAGGGGCATCCTCCCCCCCACAGCTCGTTCCAGCGCTCCTGGCACCGCTTCCCTGCCCTCCAGGAAGCTCTTGGTAAGAGGGAGAGAAAGGGAATAACCGCAGGGCTTGCTTTGAAGCAGCCTGGCATTGCACAGGCATGATTCACTGCTGGGTGTTTGCAGAGCTGGAGGAACCACCCATGGGCACTGCGAGGAGCCCTGCACAGCCCCGGGGGGGTGGGTGGTGGCTGCTGAGCGTGGGGAGAGCCAGACCCCCCAGCGGGAACTGCTGTCCTACTGCTGAGCTCGTGGTTGTGTCATCATGGGCCTCATCACAAGAGGGACATGGAGGGGCTGGAGCGTGTCCAGAGAAGGGCAGTGGAGCTGGGGAAGGGGCTGGAGCACAAGTGTGATGAGGAGCAGCTGAGGGAGCTGGGGGTGTCCAGCCTGGAGACAAGGAGGTGAGGGGAGACCTGCTGGCTCTGAACTGCCTGAGAGGAGGTTGGAAAGTGTTACCAGCCCCTGGCACAGGCTGCCCAGGGCAGGGCTGGAGTCACCATCCTGGAGTGATTTAAAAGTGGTGTAGATGTGGTGCTGAGGGACATGAGTCAGTGGTGGCCTTGGCAGGGCTGGGCTAATGGTTGGAGTTGATGAACCAAAGTTGTTCTCAGATCGCTTTAATCTGGCCCGAATCTGTTCCCTGAAGGGCTCCAGCAGCTCCTCTGCTCCCTGTGCTGCTGCGTTCCCATGAGGGTGAGCAGGAGGTGCAGCCCCGAGGGCACATTCCTGGTGTCACGGGAACCCAACCCCTCTAATCAGAGGGCCACGAGCCGGCCCGGCCACCTCCCGTTCCGCGCCCTGTTTGCTTTTGGAGGGTTTTAACCACAGGAGCCGG